GTAGGTGCTGTTTTAGAAAACTCATAAGATACATGTTAAGAACAGGTAAAAGAAAGCTTGCTTAGAAAAACAGAAAAAGAAAACAAAAATACTAAAAAGCAGACAGCAACAAAAAGAAGGCTATAGTGAAACGATGACAAAAATCAAAGACGAGATGTGAGACGAGAAAGAGATGCAGAGGGGACTAACTGGATTGTGTGAGCAGGCTTTAGGGTCTGGATGTCAGTGTTCTGTGTTTCTTCTACTCTTGTTAAATGTACTTACTGAGCATGTCTGCAAGTTCAATGTGACCAATTCCGGACAGTGAGCTCCGATATGCTTTAGGGCCTCGTCTTCTAGCTGTGGAAAAGATTGGGAAGCATTGAGAAAGAAAACTGATATCTCAATAAGGAATTTCATAAAAGAAAAAGTCTAAATCAGCGCAGACTGTTCTTTTTATTTATTTATTGTTTTTTTTTTTTTAATCCAATGTCTGTCCCTAATGGTATGCTTTGTTGCACGGGAAGTTTTTCTTTTATGTGTGCAGCTGCACTTTTTCAAGTAATAAATAAGAAGAACTAGTGAAAGTGAAGATGACAAAAAGTCTAAGATTAAAGTGGACCCTATTCACTACAGTGTTGACCGATAGAAAACAGAGCACCTAAGAAGTCACTACTTTGAAACTGAAAGGAAAAAAAAAAGTTTTCTAATGTGCTCAATAAAACGTTACACAGAATGAAATTGCCAGCAACTTATTATAACATAATCACATGTGTACCTGGGTGCAGCCCTTGAGGAAAAGACATTTGAGACCAGGGCAGGAGCGCACCAGGGCCTGGATGCCATCCTTCGTGACTTGATCACACCAGGAAATGTTCAGCTGCTCCAGCAAAGGACAACCCTCACTGAGAATAGAACAAAGAAAAGGGTGAGCAGCAGAAACTTGCAAAGGATGAAAGGTGCAATGACATTTAGGGGAAATGTTAAATGCATAACAAAATTGAAATCTTCTCACATTATTCGTATCTCTTCTGTGACTTGTGTAGGTTTAAAAAGAAAAAAATGAATCATAGCCAACATAGGTACATAGGATTGAAGGGGACTTATTAAGCTAATTTCCGGCTTCATATATTTATTCTGGAACTCAGCTAAATGGTCATGTTTAATAGAAGGTATTCACCACTGTAATATTATGTTTGAGAGGGACAAAAAAGAACAGACACAACAGGTTCACTTTGATATATGTGCTTTAAAATTAGTGGAAAAACATACCTGAGAGCTTTGAGTGAAAGGTTGGTGATGGAGGTACACGAGGCGAGGTCCAGGTGCTTTAGCTTTGGACAAAACTTACTGAGGCTATTACACGTGCTGCAGAAGAACAATACAGTGATAAAAAAGTGTATTATGATATGTTAGATACATTAACCGCACTGCTGCATGGACTGTTACTATACCTGTCTGTGATCTTGGTGCAACCGTTCAGATTAAGCACCTCAATGTTCCTGCAGTTCTGTGAGAAAGTCCTAAAGACAGAGAGAGAAAGAGAAAAAGAAACATTTGTGTGATGTCAGTCATTCTGCACTTCTCTCATTATCTCCCCTCGGGGTCTGAACTAGTATGAGAATTTCAATTAGGCGAGGTCCTCACTAAACTCACCTCAGGGCACTGTCACCCACACCCAGGCAACCCCGCAGGCTCAGCTTCCTAAGGAATCCCCCACATCGCTTTGAAATATTCTCCACCACTCGACCCTGCAACAAAAAGAAACATACTCTTTCTGTTGTATTTGTTTCTACAGCACCTTTAAAGTACCAAGTATGAAGTGACATATAAGCTGCGATCATAAAGTTCACAGACTCCACCTAAAACAAACAAAGATGACATGGTTTACATTTGGCTCATTTACTCTTCAAGATCAACTCCTCTTGCACTAGAAAGCCTCCCAGCCATTTTTACATTGGTCTCTTAGAGTTCATCGCAGGTCACGTTCGTATAAACC